AAACTGGGGTAACAAAGCCTGCCCTCTTTAAGTCCAGGATTGGGGATAGCATACTGAAACTTAATGTACTATTATGTAGGTAAGGTATTACAAAAATATAAAAATATTAATACATAATATTAGTATGGAGATATTTGCATCTAAATTCTACAGCTAATGTTTATTGGTCATTGTCAAATGGATGAGTTTGGTTTTTCATTTATATTTGCTGCAAAATACTGTTTTATATCACCATGGGACAAAAGAAAAAACAAGAGCAGATGTAAAGCTATATACTTTGATTACCAGGGTGAATATAAGATATTATTGGCCGAATTTGTGTCAAACAGTCACACATACTAGTCAAAATCCAAGCTCTTTTCGCTTACTCAAAGGCACTAGTGGCTTTAGTAAAAGTAGAACATATTATTTAAGAGGACTAGATAATTAGCCTTGACAAGAAGTAGGCCAAGAATTCCTGTGAATGAATTAGCTAATTCCTACTATAGACATTGAGCATTTGGTCTTTCACTTGACATCCTAATGAGAATTCAGTAACAGCTGGAGACACTGTAGTGACCGAAGTCAGTGGAGTTGTTTGGGAAGGGCTTAGGTTAGAAATACCAACCACTTAGGATAATGTTGTTATATCAATAATGGTCTTAAGGAAGACACAATGGTGCCAAGAAAAAAAAAGTGGGTTAAAAAGAAAAAAACACATTCATATGTCTTGATCTTATAGCAGAGCTTATGGTTTGTTATGGGATATTAAGCCACATGGAAGGTATCATAAGAAAAGCATACTGGGGTACTCTTTGGTATATTGTTTTTGACATATTTAATTATGTAAAGCATTTTTGATATAAAAATATTTGTTGAGCACCTACTGTGTGTTTTAGCACTTAGATGAGAAAACAAAGACACATAATACATTATCACTATATTTGAAGAGTTAATGTTATGAAGATAAGACATATTCAAACAAAAGATAAATAACCATTCCTTGCCATTTCACTGGGGATGCCACAGGGCCGTACACACTAAGTGTCACCTGAACACACTGGACAATAAGTTTTGTCAGACTAGGTTAGGGAGACATCGTTTTGGATAAGTGTGGTCATGGTGGGAACTGGGCTGGAACTTGAATGATAGGTAAGAATTTTAGAGATGAGAATAGGTAAATGGGCATGAACAATGAACTATGTGTTAGTCCTTTTAGTGTTGTCATAAAGAAATACCTGAGGCTGGGTAATTTATGAGAGAAAAGGTTTAATTGGCTCACAGTTCTGCAAGGTGTTAAAAAAAAGCATGGGGTCAGTGTCTGTTCAGCTCCTGGTGAAGCCCAGGAGGCTTTTCAATTGTAGATTATAAGACACTTGCTTCAGATACCACTATGGAGAAAATGGACGATTATGGAATGGGTGATGGATCAGTCTGCATTCAGTTTTAAAGCTGAAGGTGATATTGGAACCCATGTAGCTCTGCTCCATCATTTTACAAATGAGAAAAAGGACAGGAGCCACAAAGTGACTTGCTTAAGTGATGGTGGAAGGCAAAGGGAGAGCCCGTGTGTCACATGGTGAGAGAGCGGTCAAGAGAGTGGAGGGGGAGGTCCCAAACTCTTAAACAACCAGATCTCCTGTGAACTAACTGAGCAAGAGCTAACTCATCACCAAAAGGATGGCACTAAGACATTCATGAGGGATCCACCGCATGATCTAATACCTCCCACTAGGCTACATTCCAACATTAGGGATCACATTTCAGCATGAGATTTGGATAGGAAAAACATCCAAACTATATCAAACTAGAAGTTGGAATGAACACACCGTACCCCTACAGTGGGCAAAACAGCCAGATATGAAGGAACTCTCAGAGAAAGGGAAGAAAGAAAATCAGGAAAATAATAATTCTTTGCATTTGTTTTACAAAGCCATTGTATAGAACTTTGCAGTGTAAAAACGAGCACGTGCCCAACTCTCGTCACATATCATTCACAAAACCAAAACTAAATCCAGAAACCTTAGTAAGCCTGGCAGCATGGATGTTTTTCCCAGAGAGTATGTATCCCAGGCCTTGTGATTACTGCCCCAAAGCACTTTCCTCTACATAGAGCTCACATGATAGGCTGAGACACCCCACAAACGGTGAGCCTTTTCCATGCCAGGTTAGGATTTGGTTTTTCTTCTGTGAGGAAAAGAAATAGACAACGTACTGAACTTAGAAAAAGGTGAAGAAAGAGTCTATCTGTTGGTGGATTAACCAACAGATCATCTTGACAATGACCTTGGACAAGTCTGTAGACTGTGATTTTTAAAGAATGGTTTTTGAATACTTGAGTACTTGGAAAAACCCTTGCAAACACAGGTTCACCAAAAAACCAGTTTAAGTAACTCATTTCCTTTTCTGACATGCATACAATAGAAAACTGTAGATTACAAGACGCTTTCTCCACTATGACACTTTGCTTTCTCCACTATGACACTTTGCTTTCTCCACTTTGCTTTCTCCACTATGCTTTCTCCACTTTGCTTTCTCCACTATGACACTTTGCTTTCTCCACTATGACACTTTGCTTTCTCCACTATGGAGAAAATGGACAATTATGGAATGGGTGACGGATTAGTCTGCATTCAGTTTTAAAGTTGAAGGTGATATTGGAACCCAGGTAGCTCTGCTTCATCATTTTACAAATGAGAAAAAGGACAGGAGCCACAAAGTGAGTGGCTTAGGGTTACATCCTCTTCCTCCTTGACCTCCTCCTCTTCCCCATCATTTGCATCAAATTAGATTACATGTATCGAGCATTTAGTATTTATCTGGCATATTTCAAGTGCTTAACATGTATTGACTCATTTAATCCTCATGGTAGCCCTATAAGGTAACTGAAGCTCAGGGAGATTTAGTCATTTGCCAGTATTATGAGACTGTAAGCACTGGAACAGGGATTTTTTTACCCAGCAAGGTTGGCTTGTGAGTTGGTGCTTTTACTATACATATAGCCTTTCAAGGCCGTATAGCTAGTGAGTAGCAGAGCAAAGTGTCTAAGGCACTAATGAATGGACTTTTTAGTGATATAAGATGTTGTCTTTGCTATGTCCATGTCAACATTTTTATCAATGAGTTGAATAAAATATGAAAAAGCAGTCCATCAGATTTTCAGAAGTCATGCAATAGGGGTATGAATAAGAAATACTTTGTACAACAGAAGCAGGATCCCAAAAGATTTGGGATGATGAAGGAAGCCAAAAAGTTTTAACTTCAGAGAAATATAGGAAGCATTTCATGTAGGTCCCAAAACCAATTGCCAGAGGATGGGATGAAGAATGTATATAAGAGAACACAACTTGGGGGAGATAGGGGTGGGGGAGATTTTTATGAAGTTGGTTCTACATGAATTAACATGCAGAGCTGCCCAGCTAATGCAAGTGAGCAAATGGTCCTCCTGTATTCTACATTACTTATGTCCACTGGACTCTCATCCCAGCAACAGTCAAGGCAGCTCTGGGCTCTCCAAAGCTCTTTACAGTGATGGCCTGGATCTTTCTTCCTCCTTTCTGACATGCTTTTGCTCTGATTCCCCATTTTGACCTCCTCCTTTGTCATCGTGACTTTGTTCCTGCCTCTGGCCTTTTATTCTACATTTTTGTTTTGGCTTCTCCTAGCATTTGAATCTTGATTTTTTTTCTGTGTGACTCTGAGTTGACTTACCTCTCTGGCTCTCTATGTCTTGTGCTGCATCAGGAGAAAATCTCTTATCTTTTCTCCAGCCCATCAGAGCTCAGCCCATGAAACAGACCTCCAGTGAGTATGTTGACAGCATCCCATCACCCTGCCAACACATATACCATGAGGAAAAGGTCTGGACCTTATCCGGAGGATTGCATCCAAGTCTGGCCAACCCCTTTCCTCACTGTGAGGGTATCTATGTAAATTGAAGTACATTATTAGAAAAGGGATAGGTTGGTAATAGACATGAACACTTGCTGATACATAGAATTACTGAAAGAGCCAGAGATGCTGAGGAAAGGGGGGATTATGGGCACAGCAGATCAATCTCAGGATTTGCAGAGGATCCCACTGCGAAAGACTTTTTCCATCTTTCAGGCTTCTCTTGTGTGGCCCCTGGGAGCAGTCTAGCACCTGTGGGCAGAAGCTGTAGGGAAAAAGAGCAGGTTTTATCTCTATAAGAAACTTTCTTGTGGTGAAAACTGTCTAGAGATGGAATGAGAAAGTGGTGAGCTCCCCAGTATTGGAGGTGTTCAAGTATAGGCTGAGCGGTGACTTGTCATGAAAGCTCTATGACAGACCCAAACGTCAACGAGATGCTTAGATTCTTTGATCTCGGGTCAGTTCCACACAAGACAGGCTCTGGGTCAGTGAGGACCCCGTGGTGTTTTGAACAGGTGGCAGGATAACAATGGTATATAAAATAATGCAGAGAAAGACCTTCACATCAAGCCAACCCCTCCTCCCTACCTGTAAGTTTTCCACCTGAGTGAGCTCTGGCTCCAGCTGCACTTGTCAACCTCCCGTTGTTAGAGCACAGATAAATGATTCAGGCCACCTAAGCAGGAGAGGCCCACCTCAACTTAAGGGCTGCTCTATTTTAGTTTTCCGTTGCTGGAGATTGAGTATCACGCTTTTCTAACCTTGGGCTTCTGAAAGGGCCCTGTTCTCAATTGAACCCTACCCCCTCCTCCTTTCACAGATCAAATACCAAGCACATTGGACAGATAGAAGCTCGAATGAGAAAATACATTTTAATAAAACCCCATTGATTTTTGTGGATGCAAGTCAAGGAACAGGCACCTAAAGAGTCTTCCATCCCCTGCCGTCTCCCCCCTCTCTCCTGACCTACACCGGGCGGTCATACATCGATTGGCTTCCTAGATAATAGATCGTGCCACCCGGCAGGGACCTCTGGGGACGCGCCGGGAGCTGGAAAAGTCGCACGCAGCAGCCCAACCCTGAGTTAATCAAACTAGCAACAGGATCTCAAGCAGCAGCGACGGCGGTGGCAAGAGTAGCGGTGGCGGCGGCGGCGGCGGCAGCATTATGCGTGATTACTGACAGGCACCAGCTGCTGCCGCCACAGCCGTCTCAAACGCACTATGTGGACTCTCCGATCTAGAGGCAGATTCCTGACTAATCCCAGAGGGCTGGCCCAGCCTGTGCTCCCCGGGCTGCTAGGAAGCGATGACCACTCTTGTTAACCCAAGTTGAAGAAAGCCAGGCTGTGCCTGGGAGCCGGGAGAGGCTGTACTATTTAGAAGCCGCTCAGGAGAGGAACATGAACTGAAGAGTAAACATGTATGGAAATTATTCTCACTTCATGAAGTTTCCCGCAGGCTATGGAGGTAAGTATCTCCCTTGGGCTTCACTGCTTGGACTTGTATGAGAGACTGAGAAGAAATTGGGAAATACGAATGACTGGATTAGTATTGAATTAAAAGGAGAACATATATGTTTATATGCATATATAGTGTGTATATAGCATTTCTGTGCGTGTGTGTGCATGCGTGCATGAGAGAGGAGAGGAGGCGAGAATGGTCGGTAGGTGAGGATACATTTGCATATCAGAATGAGGATATGGGGATATTCTAAGGAGAGAGTAAACCAACATGCTCGAGAATGTGTCTGAGACAAAGATAGAATAAGAGCATTGTTATAACCCAGTGTGTTTGTGTGGGTGTGAAAAGTGGAAGAGTTAACGGGGAATTACTATGATGTTCCTATTAGCCAACTTGTAATGAGAAAAAAATGTGATTAAAAAGGTTTTGCCTATCTTGAGGGTTCCTGGGATACTTTGCAACAAGGGCATGATTGTTTTACCCAAAAGCAGATTTCCCTGTAATTGGATTTTTAAAAAGAAAACATAGTGTTTTAATTTGCTACTGTGTTTTCCTTTCCCTGTTTTCTTTCCTTTTGATTTGCTAATAGCCTCTTCTCTCCTCCCCTGCTGCTGCCCCCAATTCTATTGCAAGGGTTGCTGCAATCACTTCCACTCTGGGGGTAGAGATCTGGGGATGGGGGGGTTGGGGCTCTTAGAGAACTGGCAAACTGAAGATTCAAGTCACCGTGCCAGGCAGGGCAGCCCAGTCACACTTCACAGAAGCTTCCGGAGACTAGGTCCTCAGGCTGCCTTAACGCCCTAGCACATCCGTCCCAAGGATCCCTTGATTCAGTGACAGAAACAGTACAGCCGCCCAGCTCTGAGTAAATGGAAGCAACAGCTGACCAACTGGCCTCCTGCTTGTCAGTTGGAGGCATGTAGCTTATGTTGCTGGGAGCCAAAGGAAGATTCTGGCAGGCGAGACAAAGCAGAAATTCTTATAAGGTCTTGAGAATTGAAAAGTTCCTGCTCTCCAGACTTCCTCCGTGGACCAATTCATCGGAAGCCTTGGGAGTAAAGCTTGCCTAACTCAGCTGGGCAGAACCCTCTGGGAGGCATGGTAAAACACTGCAAGGTGGAAGCGATCTCTGTCACCAGGTGTTAGACCTGGGAGTTTGCACATTCATTCAGGGTAGTTTTTATGAAGCAGGCATGGTGTTGGGCACTGGGAACACAAATGTGAATGAGACACAGTCTCTGCCCTTTGGGACTGGGGCAGACTTTACACAGACACATTATAATACTGCATGGTGTGTGTAATAGCAAACGCCTGGGTAGGTTGTACTTGGACTTGAGGTGAGGGCCATGGAAATGCTCCCGAGGTGATGTTCAAGTTCTTTGGGCCAGTCTGATGACAGAGTGAGAGCGGTGGCCAATGCTGTGTCCTGGGCATTTGATCTCTAGTCTATGTTTGGGCTCCAGATGTGAAAAGCCTCCTCAATTCCCACCTCAGTCCCATTCAGAGCTGAGAATTGCTTTTTCCTTTACATCTTAGTTCATTTGTGAGAGGTGCATGCTCATTTTCAGCCAGATTCGTGGGCCCCCCAAGGTCTGTGAGACTATGGCTTCATTAATGCCAAAGAGACCCTTGTAGACAGTTGGGTGAATAAAAGAGTTGAAGCTAGAAATATTTAGGGAGAGAACTAACGTAAGAGCCAGAGAAAGAAGATCTAGTTAAAATTTCATGCGGGCTGGAATCTTGGAATGTTAGCATCCTAAGGACCTGAAACAGCATCTTAGGTTCTCATTTTATAGATGTGTAAAATGAGGCTCAAAGGAAGGCAAAGACTAGTCCAAGTTTACATGGGGCTGAGCTGCAGAGCATTTCCAGAAAATCCCCTTACTCAAATTTATATTATTGCTTTAATATAGTGAAAAGAGCACAAGGAGGAGAGGGCAGGAAGAGGTAGTGTACTGAATTTGGTTCCCAGTTTTTCACTTACTAGCTGTGTGACCTTAGGCAAGCTAGTGAACCTCTCTGAGCGTTAGCACCTTTCTCTCTAAAATGGGATTTATAATCTCATCCTTAGAGTATTGTGAAAATTAAATGAGCTAGCATGTGAAAAACAGCTGCTACAGTGTTGCCCATATATTTGCTACCTAATACAATATTTTCTTCCCCTGTATCTTGCTCAGGGACTAACACACAAAATAGTTAAAAATCAGACATTATTGTAAAATAATAAATGTGGAATCTGGGAAAATAAAATTAAATCCACAAAGACCCTCACATTTTGCTGGCATAGATTTTCATAATTGTGGGGGCTCTGGTATTCAGTGTAATTAGATTTCAGATAGAAGGAAACACAGTGGTTCAGCTATGGAAGGAAACAGTTCAGTACAGCATAGGGAACTTGAGGGGAAAGGGTCATGTAGGTTGTCTACATGTCTCCTCTAACGCCACTTTTCCTTGTCATTCTTGAGGGAGGAGAACAATTATTTTGTTTAGTTCTGTTGACGTTTTCCATTTTGTTGGCATGCACCAGTTTAAGAGGAGGCCTAAATGCTGAGCCAAAGGACTCCACCCCCATCTGCAGGGAGGTCTGTTTGAGAACTTTCTGTGATGAGGGAGAGGGATACAGGAGGACTCACCAGCAGGCATAGGGGAAATTGCAGCATCAGAGTGGACGTCACCTTCGGCCTCTAACTTCCCCTGCCCCAATGCAGCAAGTTGCACTGCACTTATTAAAATATTTGGTGTATAACTGCCTGCCCTTTTACATATGAGCACGTGGAATTACAGAGGGTCCCCACGATTTGTATAAGAATCTCCAGGAAGGAAAGTCACCTTTTGGAAATAACACCAGAGATTTGTGTCTGGGCCCACGCTTACCAGATGTCAGAGCATCATCCGATCAGTGAACAAGAGATTGCTCAGACTGGCCAAAGTGTGGTGGCTACCTGGGTGACAGTGGCTACACAAAGGTGCCCAATCCCCCAGCTTTGGGCCCTACCATGTGATGAAGAGAGAACCCTTCTCTTCTCCTTCTCTGCCAAGTCCAGGGTTTGCCAGCTGCTCAGTAATAGGTTTGTTTTTCTGGGATGAGACAGTTGCTGCCTCTTAGAAGATGGCAAAACAAAGCCTGTAATCCCCCCATCCAATTGTGCAGTAATCCTCAGGGTGAGAAGGAGATCAGGGAGAGAGAAGACTTCTCTCATTTCATTTAACAAACACACTGTACCACTAATGCTCACTACCATTGTAAGCACTTTACCAGCCTCGGCTCATGTAATCCTCATAACAACCCTAGGAGTGGGTACTGTTACCATTGTTCTCATACTCCTTTTAGAGATGAAGAAACAGAGGCTTTGAGAAGTGAAATAACTTGCTTAAGGTCTCATAGCTAGAAAATGACACAGCCAGGGATTTGAACCCAGGCAGACTAGCTCCCAGAGTTCACACTGCTGAGCTGCCTCTCACAGCTTCTGTGAGTGACACATTTGTTCTGCAAAGCCAGGGGCAGCAGCACACCCCCAGGGAGCTCCTGGTGCCCCAATCCGACCTCAGAAATGCAGCCTCAGCACTGACTGGTTGTTGCAGACCCAATGGGCTGGCCACTGAGGAATAAGCTGCACGGTGGGTTAAGAGACACTGAAGAGCAACAGTGATCTCTGCAGAATTAATTGGTGGCTTCTCTGGGGGACATACTGATTTACAAAAGACCTGTCCAAATGACCCTGGCCATTCATGTAGAATAATTGCTTTTTCACCTGAAAATAGCCATAGAGAAGGGACTGAGCTGGATGTGCTTGTATGTGTGTGTGTGCATGTGTGTGTGTATGCTAGAACATATTTTTCCCCTCCACAGATATGTGGGTGGCTAATTGGAACCTATCGTGGGCATAAGTGGTTAAGGTTTATGTGGAAAGGAGTAACTGTTTATGAGATTTAGGAAGGAACATATTTAGTATAAACTATTTTCTAAAACATTTACAATCTCACCAAGATATAGAGAGCTGAATAGCAACTGGGGGAAGAAATTGTGCAAAGAGTAATCTAAATGCCCCACCTCTTCCTTCCCCTCATTATGAAGCTTCTAGGTCTGCAGAGAACTTAGCCACCAGCATTGGATGGCGGGTGTGCCAGGGGCTCCCAGAGGAAGCTGGTGTTTTCTCCTCTTTTTTTTTTTTTTTTTTTTTGAGGCGGAGTCTCGCTCTGTCGCCCAGGCTGGAGTGCAGTGGCGCGATCTCGGCTCACTGCAAGCTCCGCCTCCCGGGTTCCCGCCATTCTCCTGCCTCAGCCTCCCGAGTAGCTGGGACTACAGGCGCCGCCACCACGCCCGGCTGATTTTTTTTTATTTTTATTTTTAGTGGAGACGGGGTTTCATTGTGTTAGCCAGGATGGTCTCGATCTCCTGACCTCGTGATCCGCCCGCCTCGGCCTCCCAAAGTGCTGGGATTACAGGCTTGAGCCACCGCGCCCGGCGTTTTCTCCTCTTTTTAAAAGTAGAAGACACAAAGGCCCAGGGAATGAAGTGAATTTTCTAGAATGCATGGGTTTCGATGGCTCTCATGAGATTGACTCAGTCCTGGCTCAGTGATCCTCAGAAGAAAGTGAAAATACAGGTTGAGTATCCCTAATCCAAGCATCTAAAATCTGAAATGCTTCACAATCCAGAACTTTTTGAATGCCAAGATGATGCTCAAAGGAAATGCTCATTGGAGCATTTTGGGTTTCAGATTTCTTGATTATAGATGCTCAATTGCTAAGTATAATGCAAACGTTCCAAAATAAAAAAAAAATCCTAAATCCAAAACACTTCTGGTGTTAAGCATTTTGGATAAGAGATACTTAACCTGTATCAACTCATTTCATAACTACAACACCACTTCAAGGTTGGTAGTTTTATTATCCCCATTATACAGATGCAAAAACTGGGGGACAGAGAAATTAATAACTTGCCAAAGGGAACTTGGTTACTAAATGATACAAGTGGCATTCGAATATGAGGAAAAGCAGCAGAT